TGGAAGTTCCTCAACGACCATCGCGATGCCGGCACCGACACAAGCTCCGTGGACATGAACGCGCTCAGACGCAAGATCGACTGGCGCCTTGTCCCCCTCATGTTTCTCTGCTACACCATGCAGTTCCTGGACAAGGTCATTCTCAACGTGAGTCCTTCCACGTGGTCTTCCAAGATCTCTCTTCCCACTACAACCTCTCTCTCATCCAGCTTATGTTTGAGCGGCGTACTTGCTTTTGTGACCTGGCTTTGTCTCTCACAAGGTCACCACGCGACCCAATGCTAATGTGATATCTGATAATGTAGTACGCCGCCGTCATGGGCTTGAGCAAGGACCTGAAGCTCGTCGGCAACGAGTTCTCCAACATTGCCACCTTCCTCTTTGTCGGTCTTCTTTGCTTTGAGGTTCCCAACAGTAAGCCTTACCCCATCTTATTCCCCATATCACCGGAAGAAAAGCAAGAAAAGAGAGACTCGAACGATGTGGAAACTCTGGAGACGCTTGGAGGGTGATGGAGGAACTCGAACGTTGGAGAGACACGAATCATCAAGACTCGGATCATGAGCAGTTTTCAAAAGGGCAATGAGAGACATTGAGACTGACACAACCTCCTTCAACAGTCTACTTCCTCCAGATGGTCCCCGCGGCCAAGTGGTTGGGCCTCAACGTCATCCTCTGGGGCACCGCGACCGCCTGCGGTGCCGCCGCCCACAACTACCAGTCACTACTCGTCTCCCGTGTCTTCCTGGGTATCTTCGAGGCCACCATCGGGCCCTCCCTGATGCTCATCAGCGCCCAGTGGTACACCAAGTCCGAGCAGGCCCCGCGCTTCTCCTTCTGGTACCTGGGTCTCGGCCTCGGCCAGATCCTCGGCGGCGCCATCTCCTACGGCTTCCAGCACATCGCTCCCGGCGCGGGCCTCGCCGGCTGGCGCATCATGTTCGTCGTCCTCGGCTGCCTGACCGTCACCATTGGCATTTGCACCGTCCTCTTCGTCCCGGACACGCCCATGCAGGCCCGCTGGCTGAGCGACACCGAGAAGGTTGCCCTGCTGAAGCACGTCAGCGTCAACCAGACCGGTATCGAGAGCCGCAAGTTCCGCCCCAAGCAGATCCTCGAGGCTCTCATGGATCCCCAGATGTACCTCATGGTCGTCGCCGTCGTTCTCGTGCGTTATGTCCCGTGTAGCTCCTGAAGATGTGTAGTTCGAAACCCGCTGACCCCTTTTACGCAGCTGTCCGTTTCCAGCGGTGTTGTCACGACCTACTCTGCCACTCTCATCCGCAACCTCGGCTACGACTCCAAGCACGCCGCTCTGATGAACATGCCTTCCGGTGTTGTGAGCATCTTCTTCACTCTTCTCGTCGGATACGGAATTCGTCACACGTCCAACCGGTGGGCTTGGATCGTCGCCTGCATCATCCCAGCGTGAGTCAATAGTGAATCTAGCGTCCGAAGAAAAAGCAAAATACTAACCCTGCTCAGCATCATTGGTGGCGCTCTGATGTCTTTCCTTCCCGTTAGCAACCGCTCTGGTTGCTTGGCCGGCATCTACCTCGTCAACGCCGTCGTTGCCCCCTTGACCGTCTTCTACGCCGTAAGTACACCTCCGAGTCGCGAGATGTCTGCGTCTCAAAAGAACGTAGACTACATGGTAGCTCTGTGGACATTAGACTGACATAACATGCAGTGGACTGCCGCCAATTTTGGAGGTGCCACCAAGCGTGCCTTTGCTGCCGCCATCGTCTCCGGCTCCTTCTCGCTCGGCAACATCATCGGACCCCAGACCTTCCAGGCCAAGGACGCGCCCGAGTACCGCCCGGCCAAGATCGCCGTCATGGGCACCCAGGCCGGCTGCGCCGTCGTCACCCTGGCGCTGTACGCCTACTACCGCTACGAGAACAAGCGCCGCGGTGCCATCAAGCAGTCCGAGGACGCCTACATGGCCCCCGAGAACTGGCAGTCAATGACTGACAAGGAGAACAAGTCGTTCCGCTACACTTACTAAGGCAGCTGTGCTGGACGCGGGTAGTATGCACAGAGCGCACAAAGTTCCGAGTTCTTGTTAAAGAAGAAAAAAGTATACTTATAGATGTATATAGCATTTGGGCAAAAGGGGGGAGGCTTATTGTACATTACTAGATCTTGGTACTGACCAATGAGACCACGTGTTTACCGACGACTACACGTTGCGCCGTCCGTGGGACTCTTTTTTGGTTTCAGACGAGTTGGGTCTTGCGCGCCGATACAAACGACATAGCTTTTCAGCTTACATGCCCGTTACAGTTTCAGGCTACATTTATCTCGCCAACGGACGCTTTAGACTGGCTCTACGTCCGATGCTTTGCCTGCCCGTCCACCTCGGGTGGACGGGCAGAGGCAACGTATGAGAATGGATCGAAAAAAGAAGATGTTTGGCCATCCATCCCTTATTCCCGTTGCGTGTCATGGCGTTAATTAGTCTGTTTGTGGTTGATGTGTAAGGCTGACTGGACGGCGTACGGCGCCACGGTTCACCAAGTCCGGTCATAGTACCATCCGGCCGGCACTTGGAGGGTGTTGGCGCTGCGGCTGTCTTTGATTTAAGCTTCATCTGACCGCCCTGTGTCAAGTCTGTCGTGCGGGTCGCTCGGGAACCTTCCACCCACTTACCGGCGAAGCGTAAAGAGAAAAGAGGGAAAGAAGGGTGACAAAGGAGAAAACCCAAAAACCCATCGGAGGTCGGTGCTCACGGCCAACTCTAACAAACCAAGCCAAACCCAAGGCCTCTACGGCAAAAGCCCTAGAGACTTGGGCCTAAAGACGCATAGATTACCAGAAGAGGTTAGCGCTTCCGCTATGCTTTTTGACAATGGGATAAAAAGATGGGTAGACACTGGGCTGATAGTTCTTCAGGTTAACTTGCACTGTTCAGGTGTAGTGGTATTCGCCTAGTCTGCTTGGTCAGATTGCGACCCTAGCCTCTAGAGTCTACTATGGCATTTAGCCTATGACAGCTAGCTTAATGAGGAGCTTACTCGCGTGGCAAGGCACCGGCACTGAATCCCGTCGGATTTTATGTGTAGGAGCTCGCGCGCGGAAGCGTCAATCTCTGAGCCATCTTATGCCAAGGTCTTGACAAGCTCCTTGAATTCCGCCTCGGTCATCCTCTGGACCCCGAGCAGTTCGTTGGTGGCCTTTGTGTCAAAAGTGAGCTGGAGCTCTGGGTCATAGACGAATCGCAAGACGATATCTTCGATGACGGACGCGTCAAAAACCCCAGAGAGGAGCTTCTGCACGCCCCGCTCGTAGCGCTCCTTCGTGCTGACTTTGATGACTTCAATGTCTATATCGGGCAGAGCTTCCTTGACTAGCTCCATGATCCGGTTCTGCGTCAGGTTGATCACCTCGATCGTCAAGATCTGGTTCCTGGTCGCGTCGGGTCGTTTGAGCACACCCACAACCGCGTTGCCAAACGCCTTGCGCGTGCTCAGCCCAAATCGGACGTTGCCGTCCTCGTGGATGTAGAATTTGCGTTTGGGGAGGCACATGCCGGTGTCGCAAGTCATGATCCATTCGATCCAGGGCCCGCCGAGGATGCTGGTATACTCAATTCGCCCTGCCTCGGCCGCCTTCTGGAGCGCCTCGTCGACTCGAATCTTGGAAGCTGAGAGGGGTACAGATCGCGCACTCGGATTCCGATGGTCGGAGCCGAACTCCGAGGGAATGAAGCGCTTTACCTCGGCGGCGATGGCAGCCTCAAGGATGCGCAAGAGGAGGGCTTCCAGGTGGCCTGGAACGACGCAGACGACGGCGTCAAACCCACGGAAAGCAACGGTCAAGTCGTCCAATGATTCATAGTCGGCTGCGACAGTCTTTACTCCCGGGGGGAAGGTCTTGGCGTTGGGACCCCTGGTGATGACGACAAGGTTAAAGATGCCGGCGGCAGCGAGTTGGTCGACTATGACATGCCCGAGGTCGCCGGTGCCCTAACGTCGGGTAGTAAGTATGGGATGGGCGGTACAGTGGTCAGTGCAGTGCAGTTTGATCGGGCTGCCTATGTTAGGCTTTATTAGGGGTACGGAGTAACCGTAAACGTTTAGTAGTGTAAGGGTAGTGTATCCGTAGTGTAGGGGCAAAGGGGAAACGAGGGATCCACGATGCGTGGCTCATGCAATCTGTAAAGAGTAGGTTGAGTGTGGCTTACTCCAATAACGGCAATGTTCTTCAGGGTAGCCGCAGTCATGGTTTATTTTTGTCGACTTGATAGGTTGTCTCAGGTTGTAAACTTTTCTACAGAACAAGGGGGCCTGATTGATAAAGCGTGTCTGATGTATCCGTAGGCTAAAGACTTTCAGTGTCAGAATGTCGATGACTATGTCTCTCTAGTGATGTGAGGGCATCTGCAACTCTTCAGTATAGGGCGATCCCCCATTCATATTATACAGAAAGACTATGAGACTCTGCCTATAACCATCATTATTCATCAAGACCGGGCCCTCCGCTGTTGCTTACCGTTATCCTACCGGTGTACCGGCGGACGCATACATAAGCTCGGCGCCCGGAGGCCCCGCCCCGGCGATAGAGACCCCACTTATCTCGGTATCCCACCGGCTGAGTAATTGGGCCTATAGATGGGCCAGACGGACGCCCAGCCAATCGTTGGCGAGCATAGGCGCATCCAACTGCCGCGGAAGGTTTAGCCTTGACACCCACCCTCCACCGCCTTCCACCTCAGTCATCTTTCTCCTAGGTAGTCCTAGTCCTAGTCCCTGGCCTCCTGGCAAGCATAGTCGTCTCGTCCAAGAGCTAAGCGTACGGCGGATTCAAGCGAAGTCCACGTCCGAACACCCAACATAACGCCCACACGCTCTCCACGCACGCGGCACACTCACACACACACAAGACCTGGACCTGGACCCAGACCAGACCACCTAAGCCTTTAGCCCTCTTTAACCTATCCTATCCTATCTCTGCTCTGCCTGCTCCGGGTGGCTATCCGGCCCCCTTCTCAAGCAACCTCTTTTAGATCTAGTCAACCCGCCGGCAACTACTTCCAGGGCAATGGATCTATCCCTTCCTTGCGTTGGAGGTCCCCAGAATGCCCTTCACCTGCGACCATGAAGGCTGCGGCCGCTCCTATCTTCGTAAGGAACACCTCACACGCCACAAAAAAGAGCACTCTGCAACGCCTTCATTTTCCTGTCCATCATGCGGTACCAAGTTTACAAGAGGGTATGTATGACTGTGGGTGGTTGACAAACTACCCATCCCTTCCCTAGTACGCGGTGTCTCTGACACTATTTGTCTTGTCACTTGTCGCGTCCATCGGGTCGCATTCCCCAGACGCTTCTCGTGGGTTGACTATCGTTTGTCGATATCGATCGGATTCTGGATTCCGCGTGAAAATAAGTAACTAACAGCGGGAAATTTTCTATCAAAATTGTAGAGATACCCTCCGTAGACACATGGTACTACATGGCCCTTCAGCCCCGCCAACCCGCGTAGCACAAGCCTGCGTTCCATGCCACCGGACAAAGACCAGATGCGATGGTCAGCAACCCACCTGCTCAACATGCAATGACAAGGGGAAATCGTGCGAATGGCCCCAGCCGCGCGGCGGCAGCAAGTCGCTGACGGACCGATCTTCCTCTTCGCCGTCCAGCTCCTCCGGCCTACCGACCTCGGGCTGCACGCCGCCCTCGAACTCCATGGCCTTGCCCGACCACGGCGGCCATCCGATGACAGCGCCGAGCATGCAGCATCAGCATCAGCATCCGCATCATCCGCCCACCGGCATGACTACTACCTCGCATGCGATGATGTCGGCTGGTCCCATGCCGATGACGACGATGTCCGACACCCTCGACTTCACCCCGGGATCCATCCTAGATGAGGCCATGAGGCTCCAGCTGCAGAGCATCTACTTCGCCAAGTTCCATCCCCAATGGCCGCTGCTGCACCGGGAGACGTTCGAGACTACGGCGCAACCCAAGTTGTTGATGCAGGCCGTGATGACGGTTGGACTATGGTTTGCTTCGTGGCCTGACGCCAGGGGCTTGGCCATCAAGTTCCACGATAGCCTCCTGGTAGAAACAGGAAACAAGCTTGTAAGTTGCTGTTGATATCTGCTGTTTGCCAGACTATGTGTTTTTCCTCCGGTTTTTTGCTTGTATTCTTGCGCTTGGACGGGTCCTTGCCAGATACACGGACATTTGTCGTTTTATTGAACAATCTACTCGTAAAGAAGAATATTGTACTAATCAACGTTACAGCTTGATCTATTAGAGCAGTCAAGACAAGGCATGCTCTCGCCACGGATGGATTTGCTCCCAGTTTTCCAGTCCATGCTGATCTCGACAATACTCGTGCCGTATCGAGCGGACCAGTCCATGGACAACGTGATGATGACGCACTCCATGTTGCTCGAGACGTTTAAAGCTACGGGAGTATACGAGCAGTCAAAGATCAATCTAGGGTCGCAGCTCTGTGGGCATAGTGGATACCCTTGGATCTTTAAAGAGTTATATCAACGGTAAGCCAAAGCTCCTTCTCCCGATATATCAATATGCCAAGGAAGACGAGAAGATGGCATCAAAACGATCGCATCTTCTTCAACTGGTTTTTCCTGGAAACTAGAAGAACCAGTTTCTTTCCTATGGCATACTGCTCCCCTAACTCAGTAATACACGAGTCATGGCTAACTCTATTCGTGTACAGTCTCGCTGTCTTCCAGTTCAAACTACATCTAATTCTCCAAACAATATTCATCACAATACATCCCGCCTTGCGTCTGTCCCGCAACGCAGAGCCTGGCATGCTGAGGATAAAAATACCGCTACCGCTGATGATGTGGGATGGGCCCGCGGCGCACTGGTATGGCATGGTGCCGACGGATCCCGCGCTGCTCGACGCGAATACCGGCGACGAAGAAGTGCTAATGATTAGCAAAATGTGCGAAAAGGCGAGCCTCACGATGGACAATAAGGCACTTGTCCCCTTGCTCTCCTGGGATCGGTGTTTGGGTATGGCGATTTGGTGTTGGTGTTTACGGGGGTCTGAGACCGACAAGGAGTTTATAGAGAACGTGAAGCCATTTGTTCTCGATCCGTTGAAGGATACGAATGTTTTCCCAGGTTCTGGCTAGGTCGGCATAGCATTCAATGGGGAAAAAGAATAGACGAAAAATATTACTGGAAAATTTGGTACACTAGTAGCGTTCGATTTGCTATGACGTAAAGGCTCTTTACAGCCTGACTATACTACTCAGCACGCAACTCCATACAGACTATACTATGCAGCGCCTCGACAAACATCACGAACATGCCGGCCACGCCACGGCACAAGGCCACGCTCGCCACGGCCTCCGACCACAAGGCTGCTCTATTTTTCTCACTTTCTCTCTCCCTTTCCGTCGGCGCAATTTTGCTGCGGCGGCGCCCACTCGGCATCCCACTCGGCCAACAGTGATAATCAAGGGGGGTTTCGGCCTAGCGTGCCGGTGGGATGAGGCGGGATAATTTTCCTCCTCTGGACCTAGTCGAGTGGGGTCGCGCGGTGACCGACGATTCCAAGGCTTTATGCACGACAGAAGCCCAATGTGGGCGGCCTGGGGTGGACTTGCCCCCGGCTCAGGTGGGATAGAGAATTCATAGTCAAATTAGATGTCTGCCGCCATCATTTACCGCACTGAAATGGCACTGACAGAGCGGTCACCGCGCCTCAACGAAGTATTCAGTTGCAAGCAAAAAGCTCCGAGACAAGTCGCCGAGTAGTTTGCGATAACGAACGTGATACTCTCGAAACTTTCCATTGCTCGAGACGACCATCATCAGCTATCCTAGCGTCTGATTTACAGAATCGATAATTATCTGTACCACGGGCAATACACACATACTGTGCCTAGTAGATCATGGCGGACTCTATTCAATGGACTCGAGTGCTCCAGCTCGTCAACCTCCTGGGCGTCACTCATCTTGCCGGTACCGTGATAATCAGCTGATCAGAACCCCGTCTAATTCCGGAAGCGTGGGAGGCTAAAGTCATCTATAGGCTACCAATTTGGGACGGACAAAATTGCCATGTACAGCATCCTAAAACTCAATGACAAGGACACCATAGTAAAGCTCTGGTTCCGGGGCTGGGACTTTGGCCGAGTGTACGGCCCCGCAATGGTTGTCGGCACGGCCGCCGTTTTTGGCTTCCTGGCATGGAACGGTGCGCGCCCACTTTCCTTACTTCGCCCCCCGTCCACCTCCTAACCTGGACTCTACCCTGCCCTTTCTACTACAGCTCCCGCAACTTTAAACAGACGAACAGACCTCTCTCATCATTGGAAAAAAACACATATCGGCTAACGAAAGATACCAGACGGCATCGCAAGTCCCGCATTCCCATTCAATCTCGCCGCCGGACTCCTGATGGGGGCCGTGGGCCCGTATACGCAATTCAGGATCTTCCCCGTCAACGACAAGCTCTTGGAGGAGCATCGAATTGTTATCAAGGCGGAGAAGACGGACGATCGAGCACAGGGTGCCAGTGTCGAGGTTGTTCGAGGATGGGCTGCTGACTGGAAGAGGCTCGACATTCACCGACAACTTCTCGCCTATCTTGCTGCCGGGGCTGGCTTGATCGCTGTTCTCAGATCTTGAGAATGCTGTTGAACCGATGGCAGACCGAGGACTGAGGATACAGAACGATTGTGGGGAGAGTAGAGACGATATTGTACATTTTTGAAATACGACGGACGAAGTCTCCCGAATACGAACAGCTACGATTACCTAGTACGAACGGATACGAAAATGCACGATTCATTTAGTGCGAAGGCCTTCCCGGTCCTGTTCTCTTGAAAAAGAATACTTGAGCAAATAAGTGACCTGGCACACGACGATACATTCAAACTTCGGAATCAGATTGATTGAAAATCACGATCACAATAGTCTGATACTGGCAACTTTCTCGAATCCCCAAACGCCGATGGAGGTCTGAATTCGAGGAACCCCCCATTGACCTTCGAGTTTCAGCGAACCTAAAGCGATGCGAAATACAGACCAAAGCCATATCCCCAATTTGCAGACAATAATACAAGAACCCATAGATCGGTGTCGGCTGTTGCGCGTTTCCATTCTGTGAAGCTGCCCACATAAGTAGCCTCGGCCTCAACATGGAGTTGCTCTTTTTGCTTGCAATGCAATAAGTGATTGGTGGGAAACAACTTCCTATCTTGTCCTGGTATCCACACATTCAGACCAATCGACCCTGACAAGACGGAACTCGGCTCTACTGTCTGTGGGAATAAGAGTATTATCTTTGAACACTTGCTTCCTGGAGTAATCAGTCCCATAAGCCTCACGTGGTAAATTCCCGATTAACCACGTCTTCTGTGTCCAGAAATCGAAGCTATCTGTGACGGCTTTTCAGCGAACGATCTGCAGTTTTGATGCCAGCTTCAGTCGGGGTGTCAAGTGTCACGAAAGACCAGTCGAGCCAAACCGTCAGCTTCGCGTCATCGAGGTTCTGGATAATAGTCTCGAACCGCACCTTTGCTCCAGCACCTAGGCTCTAAAGAGTAGATACAGGTATTCAATTCTGTCACACGTTGATACTATTCTACCTAGTTTACCAATCAATAGAAATATACTCGATTCCACGAGCGCTACCTACTTAGAGTATACTTTTATTTATCGTCTCCAACGCTCCGATACCTCCCACATTCTATCCCATATCCTGCCCGCTCGACATCGGCTACGCATCCGACCGTACCGTGTGCCATTGCAGTACGCAATGGATTCAGAATACACCCTCGATCAAATGATATGGCACGTCTCGTTCGGAGATCAGCGCGAGAACTAGGGAAGATTACAAGGAAGTAAAGCTCGAAAGTTCGCAATAGAGCGATGGACCCTAGAGAATCCGTGTGTGTTATCGCGGCGCCTATTTCGTCAGCAATGCTCTCGACAACCGCAACACCTACTACTCCCTCGATTTTACAGGCCAGCGTGTGCGAACAAATTGCGTGGGCACGATGATAGGCAATGGCTCCCTCGGTGGCGGTAGACTACCAGTCTACCTCCGTCCCGAACGAGATGCCATCCTGTACCTATCATAAATAGGCCATGCCGCCACGTCGAGCTACAACAAAGAAGCGGCCCGGGGACAGCACGATTCATTCAACATAGACGTACTGGCAGAAGATCCGGACCCGTGTCATCCTATCCAAGCGAATTTTTCCTTGTATTGTAGTCTCGTCGAGCTCTCAGATTTCTAATGGAAAATATTCGTACAGGTCCCACAACAGCTCTTGCTGGTAGGCCCGGAGTCAATCAAGTCCCATAACATCCAAAAAGTGCCAAAAGAAAATCCTCAACCGTATGATGGAATCTAACCACTGAATCTCCCCGAGGTGGGCTCGAACCACCAACCTCCAGATTAACAGTCTGACGCGCTAGCCAATTGTGCCATCGGGGATGTTGAGATGTTGTGTCTCTGTGAGTTGATGCGCTGCGCGATTTTTGGGAATATGGAGCTCGTGTCGTGGGGTGGACCGATTTTGTGTGGAGAAGCGTCAGAGCGAGATGTGATGGAGTGGAACGAGTCAGTATTAAGACAGACTGTGGAGAGAGGTGAAGAGGTAGACGACCTACTAGGTGTCGCTAGAGCTGATAGAGTATCATAGTCAAGGCTTTGATGCCAGAGGATGGTGGAGAGGAGGAAAGTAAGTCGAGAGTTTGTTAAGGAATCGGCGCGTTGGGTGGCGATAGGGATTAGGACGATGGCCTCGGTCATTTGAGGCCAACGGATATCAACCCACTGAGAAGTGATATAGTTGTCGCAGATTTCTTGCCGGATGTCCATCTGTCGAATTGTGCGTCCTGAAAGTTGTAATCACTATTTTGTCGGAGAAAGTTGGGCCAGGAGTAGCTTTCGGTGAGGGATTGAGGCTTACGGTGTGCAGTCTCGGCAGGCATCCCGACTCCCTTCACCTTATGGGGCTCTCGGTGAAGAAGGTGGGGCAAAATAAGCTTCAGTACGTACCAATTCACGTGCCATAGCTCCCTAGCGCGCATCAATTTTCGACCCCTGCACTTGGGCAGTCGCGTCTCACCCTCATTTCACCACTGCTGTCACTTTCTCAGCCGTTTGTCTTTCAACAAGGGCAGCAACTTTGTCGCCCGCCAACGGAGGATCTCCATCGATCAACATGCCAGACTCATCCGACGAGTCGGGCTCTGATGGCGTCGGCCTTATGCAAAATGATGCATCCGACCGGGAGTCCTCAGACAGCGAATCAGGGACAGAAGCCGGCGACGCCCCCGGCCAGGGCTTTCTCGACGTCGAAGCCTCGGAAGAGGGGAATAGCGACTCTGACGACTCATCAGAGTCGGACTCAGAAGATGCATCTATCCTCGGTGAATACCGCCGCAAGGCTCCACGGGTGTTCTTTCCCGAATTTCGCAGACTTCCCATCGAGCTTCGTCATCGCATTTGGCAGTACTTTTGTCCAGATCTTCACCCATCACCACGCGTCTTCTCCTTCCAGGTGCTGCCGAATCCACGGCAAGACACTATTTGGGAAAGCACGACCTTGGAGAACCAGATTGCAGCGGTAGATGCCATGTTGCGCGTTCATCACGAGTCTCGAGACATTGCACTCAAGGCATTTCCAGACACCCTGGCGATTAGGGAGGGTCGGCGCATCGTTCGGTTTAACAAAGAACGAGACGTCGTTCACCTCAATGGCGTCAAGCGCGTTTGGGACCACAACCTCAAGGTCCCTGGCTTCTCTGAGAACATCATGAACATGGCCATGGATGGATCTAACCTGGACGCCAATGAACTACGGCTTCTTCTGGCCTTTCCTAACCTCAAGAACCTATTCGATTTCCAGTGGCATAACGACAGGCGCATACCTCACAGGTTGAGGTGGTGTGCGTCGGATCTGATTCACAACTACGAGATCCAGCAATTACGAAGAAATGTGGACATTGGCGAGGATCTTCATTTCGTGTACTGCTGGCCAGATCTCACGCAGCCGCAGAATCGCGAATTCGCATTGAAGAAGAATCTATCCAAGGATGAGATATGGATTGATCTCTTCACAGAATTGTTCGACATGGTAGAGGAGGGCTCCCTTCACCTGAAATCGGGTGAAGCTGAGCGGCTAGAAGAAGTCAGTTATTGGCCTATGCAGTGCTTTGGCTGGGATGCAGCAGACCGATTCGACGCTTTTCGGGCAAAACACGGGGTTGCTGATGGAGACAAACCCGCTGCCGACGGTTCGGAAGACGACAAGGAAGAGGAATCAGGGGACGACTCAGAAGAAGATTCGGACGACTCCTCGGACCAGAACGAGTATGAAAGCGAGGGAATCGACGACGGAAGCATTCACGAGGAGTCCGTAGATGAAGACGAGGACGATTTGCTTATCGACACGCAACATGCAAGCGATGATGAAGAAGGGGGCGGAGGTGTGTCAGACTACGGCGGTTTTTCTCCTCTTGCAAATGAGGACAGCACGCTCTTCGATGGCAACGGCCCTAGAAATCCCGCAGCTCACTGGTCCAGCCCCGAGCCGGAATCAGGAGAAGACAACCAGCCCCGCGGAGGAAGGAGGAGACGACGAACCGCACCGTCCGACGAGGACGAAGAATCAGGGGAAGAGGAGGAAGCAGAGGACTCAGGCCGCAGCACAAGTCGACGTGGTCCAGTGGCTATTTCCGACGATGAAGATGAAGGGGATGAGGAGCAGCCTTCTCAACCTACGAGTCGCCGGGGCCGCGTTGTTCTATCAGATGACGAGGACGACGATGAAGAGGAAGCGGCGGAGAAACCTGCAAAGCCTACCGGTCGTCGTGCACGAGTCCTTCCCTCAGACGACGATGACGAAGACGACGATGAAGGTGGGGCTGATATTGCCAACAAGGAGGCACGGGAAGCATCAGACGCGGAGAACGAAGAAGAGGGCGCGAGGGAACCTTTATCTCTAGCTGAAAAGCTCGCTCGTAACCGCCGCGACAACCCGGTATCCGAGGACGAGGAAGAGTCTGGAGAGGAGAGCTCCGAGGAGGAGGAGGAAGCACAGCCCAAGACGATGTCTCTCGCGCAGAAGCTCATGACGCATCGCAGACGGAATCCGATTGCCTCCGAGTCAGAGGACGAACCCGAGGGCAGTATCGTCGGCAGCGAAGATGATGACCTCGAAGATGAGGAGGATGAGGATGATGAAGACGACGAGAATGGCATGTTTATGAACCTGGCGGATGAGGGCGAATCCGGGGATGAGGAAGGGGACGAGGATGAGTACTAGGGTTGACCTCAGTGGGAGATCCATGGTTACGGTGTATAACATTACGATTTTTTCTCCCTCGGTCTCGGGGGATGGGATTGGGGCTTAGAAGATCTCATACGTACTCGCCGTCCATTTAGGTATATGGGCAGGTGGCCAGAACAGCATTGAAATCTGACACAATGGGTTGAAGTTTTCAACTCGAGTGAACAACGAGATCTTGCCCATGATTTGCACAGTATTTTCCGTCCCATTCGTGAGCTTGTTTCACTCCCCAGCCGCTACTGGGCCTGTTATCAACAGCTTCCCGCGGCCCACTACAGCCTCGTGAAGGACAAGCAGCATTGTTAGTCTGGGGCGAACAGG